AAGTTCCCCGGTTTTATCTCAGCCCTCCTTGACTCGAGTACGGATCCTATGCTTTCACTAGTACGGGCCCATACTACCTTACACATCTATCTGTACTTTCATGAAGAACTGCCTTGACTCTACCAAGTCCCTTCTATTACTACTGCTCTCTGCTACTCTCATCCTAGGATTGCCCTAGGGTAGTCATCATCCCACTCTCCACCATCAGTTGCATAAGAAGTTGGTACTTTTTTCCCCTAACTAACTCGCGAATACTATTACATATCACTCGAACTAGATGATTCTTCGAATGAGAGGTTCTACTCTACAACGGTTAGACTCAAACAAGAGCTGTGAAATAAGGCTAAACCTAACCTTCTGAAATTATTTCGTCCTTGCGATATATAACTTAGCATATTCGTTTACTAGTTAGTAAAAGATAGTCGGAAAAGCAAGCAACATTTTAGCATTGAGTACACACAATCAAGCATATACTACTCAGACTATGATACTGACTAATCTGTACTAGCATGTAGTTTTCATAAAGCTGATACACATATAACAGGTACATAAGCCATCCTTCCTAGATCCTTAGTCCTAATCTAGCATACAGTTCTCATAAAGTTGATACACATATCATAACATAAACTTCTATGGGTAATTTGGGAGTACTTACTTGAGCTCGGCTGACTGCATGCACCACACCCTTCTTTCTTTTTCAAAATTATTTTTGCTCTTTCTAAAACTCTTATTTTTTCTAAAAATCTGTTTACAAAATGACTTTTCCTTTGAAAATTTATATACCAATTTCTTAGTTTGATTTCAAACACATCCGAAAGTGTGACCGAATCCCTCAAACCAAGGCTCTGATACCAACTTGTAACATCCCATAAATACAGTCCAAAAATTTCATTCTTAAATCATTAATTAAAACCAAAGTTATCAAATCTTTTCATCAAACATAGTCAATATCTCAAAACATTGTAATCAGAGTATCGGATTATCAAAGTAATTCATCCCAGGCTGAAAACTATGGTGTGTGCCATGCAGTCATCCTGAGCTCTTCCTTCTGCTACCGAAAGTACTGGAAACCAAAACCGAAAATTGTAAGAACGAAGCTTAGTGAGTGCCCCAATCTACCACATACCATACACACAAACACATATATTAGGCCCACATCCGCTACATCGGGACTTGCCCAGCATTGGACTTGCTTCGGCATCGGGCCCTGCCTAGCATCGAGCCCCGCTCGGTATACATATCTGTTTCTACTAGGCCACACCTATCTCTGGGCCCCGCCTGCTATACTCATGCAAACATATAATCATAATCAAGCTAGTACACAACAAGCAAACACAACACTATATCTGCTAGTCTAAAGGCCCTACCTATCTTGTTCCTCGCCCCTGCTTTGCTACTAATGAGATATGGAACCCCGTCCACATTCAGCTAGTGATGAGATACGGGCCCCTGACCATACTCATCTCCCTACAAAGCACATACAAGTATCACAAAGACAACAAGTATAACTAAGCATGCATTCCTTCTTCGGGTACCACCTGACATCGAACCATAGTTCGGTAACATACATATAAACCTTCTTTGGGCCTCGCCCGACATCAAACTGAATTCCAGAACATATAAACTACATCAGGCTAACCCTGACATCATATCTAAATTTGATACACACTAAAATACATAAAATGGCCGGCATTGGTGCCTTCAACCCGTTCCTACAGGAAAAAACTCACCTCCCAAGTTGACTGTAGAATCCTGCGAGTAACCCCCCCGCTGCTATCTGACAAATCCCCAAACAGCTGATCTCTCGACTCCCCGAGCTACTATTACCCAAAATAACAATTAGTCCAAACCAAAACTATCCTTAGGGTAAAATGACCATTTTACCCCTAGTCCAACTTGGTCTATATCTAAGGCCTAAAACTATCAATCCATAAATATCCATCAATGGCCCAATTTTCCAAATTAGGCCCAAACCCTTACATGGGACTTTCCCTAAAAGCCAAATACTTTTCAGAACTAATGATTTTCCGATGGCCCGAAGACCAAGCCCACTAGTCCCAATCAAGGTCTAACTACATTAGGCCTACTAAGACACATTTCATCATTTAAGACCCATTAGGGCAAGCCTAGCAAGGCAAGCCCAACCAGAAGTCCATTAGTCGAAAATCCTTAGCCCATTACGAACACAGAACAAAAAGACAAGCCCATAACCATGCTAGCCCACAATCAAAGAGTCCAAAACTTGCATAGGGGCTGCTCACGTCATGATCTCTTCATGATCACATCGTGGGGCCGTGTTTTTCAGTCCAGGAACTTCCTTGAATACGTACTCACCTCGTCAGGCTTCATTCCTCACGTCATGAGACCAGTTCTGACCAAAAATGAGCATTAAGCTCCTAATCATTTAAGCTATAACATGGGACAGTCTAGCGGGTCTTCCTTGACCTCAAGGACCATAAAAATTGCATCTTTTTTGTAACATATGTCCAATACATGACTTAAATACTAATTACGTCAAAAGATGGGTATAAACATGAAGATTCAAATTTGAAGCCCATAACTTGCACCAAAATCTTGATCTAGGGGTTCTAGCATAGAAAATGACTCCATGGTCCATAAAGTTGCAAACCTTATGGACCCCATGCATGATACTTCAAGATCCCATGCAAAGAAGGTCACCAAAACCTAGATCTAGCAACATTGAAGGAGAAAGGTGGGATCTTTGAGACTTACCAAAGCTTACAAGCTTAAAAGTGTCACTAGGAGGAGCTTATCTTGCCAAAAGGAGCTTCCCAAGAGATTCTTCTTCTTATTCAAGAAATCAATCACTATAACACACCAATACCACCAAAACTGGCTCAAGGGCTTAAGAAGGTTGAAATTAGGGGTTTTCAATGATTTGGGAGTGAAAGAGGCTAAGGAGAAGCAACCCTAATTATCCCATACCTTTAAATACCCGAAGATAAGGATTTTTGAGCATCAGGTGTTTCTCATGTCGTGAGCCCTTAATGCTCACTTCGTGATCCTCAAATAAACTTGGTCAACAAGTCAACGATCACTCACCCGAACCACTCCAACTTCAAGCGGCCACTACTTCTTCATTTCAACTCCGTTGTTGACATTCTTTATATCCACGAAAAGGTGCCGATAAACTATAGACATTATCAACTTATCCTTACCTCAAAACCTTCCAAAATAAAATTCAAAAGTCATAAAAATCTCAAACTGCCACTCTTACCGATATACCCCTTGGCTCCAAGGCACACCTAAACTCCCAGATCACCTCAATTACATTATCCGTGCCTAAAGGGGTCAAGATCTCTCTTTTCCAAATGTCCTAAGCCTTATGATAACCCATCTTCAGGCCACAATACCGAATTAGGAAAGCGATTTGGAACAGGGCATTACAAAAACTTGATCGAGTTAAATAAAAGCACCATCATATTATTAAAATTGTTTTTGAATTTTTTTCCAACAATATATTTAATAAGAATTTTTATCTGACAAATTTTACGATAATGGATAATCGTCCTAGTCCTTCATGGATGATTAAGTAGATAATCATGACATTCTCAAAATTATTTCTTATAAATTAAAGAAAAATATATTAATTTTTAAGTAAGGGCGTATTTAAAGGAATTGGTCATTGTTTGGCTAAAGTCAAGGATTTTAGATTCAATTTCTTATATTTTATTATAAAGAAAAAAATGCACACCTCTTTCACACTAACCATGCATGCCCATCTACATATCAATATCACCACTACACCTATCCCCACTTTGCACCCATAAGCATATGGCTACCCTATCCACCCTAATACCCACATACCCAAGCATCCTTCCTACTCACACCCACCATCATTCCACCCGTATAGGCACATACCCAAGAATCCTCCCTATTCCCATGCCGATGCCAACGAGCTCTACATCAAAGTCGACGCCCAACACACCCGCACAACCCCACACACACATGCCCACCCCCACCTGTACACTCTATGTATCCCCGCTCTGCCCCTACTCCATCCTACCCTACACCCACCTACTTTTCAATTTTATCATGATTATTAATAACAAAATTAAGTTTTAAAAATAACCAAAAAGTCATTTTTTTAATGTCACATAATTTAGTTTTCTATTCATTTGACAAATCTACAAGCTAAACCGAAAAAAAATCCATTACATAGCCAAACCCATGATAGATTCTAATTTCTTCACATTCGAATTCGATCATATTTCAATTCCCTTGACCGATCCAATTCATTTCAAAAACATTATGTGAACTGAAGGACCCTAAAGTTTTCTAACATGTCCCAAAAATAGAAACTCAATTGCATTGATGAAGACATAGGTTTGATAGCTAACTAATGATATTCATTAATCCAATGTTTTCCGGTCTACCGTGCATCAGAAATGGAATTTATTGATTTTCTAGCATGGCCACATTAGCAATGTCTTGTAGTTGGAATGCAAAGTCTAATCCCCATATGACATCCTCCATGGTGTGTCGTTCAGAACCTTCCTCATGCAAGCAACTATTTTCCACCTCCCCAAACTTTTGTAAACACTCCGGTGCAATCTCACCACTTAGCTTTGGATCAATTATTTCAAGCAAGGTTCCCTTGGATAGCAAGACTTGCCCCATATTACCAAGCTCAATTGTTCGTCACTCAATCGTCGAACTAAAACAGGTCTTGAACACAAAACTTCAAGGAAAACCACTCTAAAAGAGTACACGTCAGACATATTCGTAAGTTGTTTGGTTTTGCAATATTCGGGATCTATATACCTAAGACTATCCTTCACCAATGTGCTAACATGTGTCATCAAAGGATCTTTGGACCCAATTTTTGACAAACCAAAATCAGACAACTTAGGTACCCATTTTTCATCCAATAAAATATTCATACACTTGACATCCCTATGAATTTTTCTACGCATTCCACATGTGTGGAGATAATGCAACCCTTTGGTTGCGCCAATGAAAATACTAAGACATGTTTTCTATGACAATGGAGGGTTGTTTGTGTTGTAAATATGTTCCTGTAGAGTACCCTGAGCCATGTACTCATACACTAGTATCATCTCTCCATTCTCATCACGGTACCCAATCAGGGATACTAGATGAACATGTCGTAGTTTCGACAGCATCGCTATTTCTGTTTGGAATTCATTAAAATGTTGACTGCATGATTTGTTGACCTCTTTGATTGCTACATTGTTTCTAGTCTTCTCCATATACCCTTTATATACTTTACAAAACCCTTCATTGCCTATGACACAACTTTCATTAAATTCACTTGTAGCAAATTTCAACTCTTTGAATGTATAACGATGGCAACCATCCGATGGAAGTAATGCGCGGAAAGACTTTGATTCACTGGAAGTTCGTCCCCATGATGATTTGTCCATGGCTCTCCTATCGAGTAATTGAAGAACACTTAAATTCACACTAATATGTATTTATTATATTTAGAAGCATAGAATCATCCATAGATGTCATTACATACATTTTTATACTAGCCTTCATAACTATCAATAATTACTAATGTAACTATCATTTGACAGTTACCAAATAAAACACCGTTTGGAGACACCCCTTAGATAAAGGAACCACTTTGTACATAAAAACAGCGAGGTTACTTATATGTCTTTAACATTCCCTCCTATGCTAAACTTGTTCCATCCCAAGATGCTTCTTTAAATGATTGAAGACTGCTACTTGTAAGGCCTTAGTGAAAATGTCTGCAACTTGGTCCTTTGTAGAGCAGAAAGTTGCATTGATATCTCCTCTTTCAACTAGCTCACGAATGAAGTGATACTTTATTCTGATATGTTTGCTTTTACCATGGAACACTAGATTCTTGGTGAGAGCAATAGCTGATTTGTTGTCACAATGAATCAAGGTTGATGATTCTTGAGGATTGTCTAGTTCCTCGAGAATTCCTCTTAGCCAAATTGCTTGACACCCTACAACGGAGAGAGCCATATACTTGGCTTCTGCTGATGAGAGTGCAACTGTGCTTTGATTCTTTGACTGCCAACATAAGGCTCCAGATCCCAAGTTAAATAAGTAACCTGATGTGCTTTTACCATCATCTTTATTCGCTCCAAAGTCAATATCATTGAAGCCTCTTAAAGATGGATCTTTGGTTCTCCTGTAAATAGTTCTATGATCTATTGAACCCTTTATGAACCGTAAAATCCTTTTACTAGCCTCCCAATGGCTCTTCTTGGGTTTCTCCATAAAACGACTGATCTTACTAACTGTAAACATAATATCCAGCCTTTTTGTTGTGAGGTACATCAAACTTCCTACCATGCTTCTATATAAGCTTGGGTTAACACATTCTTCTGATGAATCTTTAGATAGTTGCAGTCCAAATTCCATTGGTGTTGCTATAGGAACTGCCTCTCTCATATTGAATATGTCCAATATTTCTCTTGCATAATTTTTTTGATTAATTGAGATTGAGTCTACTGTTTGCCTTACCTCTATTCCGAGAAAGTAATGTAGCATTCTCATATCAGTCATCTTAAACTCGTTTTTCATGCAGACTTTAAAAGCTTCAATCCTTTTTAGGGAATTCCCAGTAAATATTAAGTCATCCATGTAGACACAAAGCATGAGCAAGTTACCTTCTTGTTTCTTAACATAGAGAGTATGTTCATGTGAGCACTTCTTGAACCCACTTTCAAAAAATACTTGTTAATTCTGCTGTACCAGGCTCGTGGTGCATTCTTAAGCCCGTATAAGGCTTTGTTTAATCGGCATACCTTGTGTTCTTGACCTTTCATGACATATCCACCAGGTTGATCAATGTAAACCTTTTCTTTTAATGGACCATTTTAAAAGACCGATTTAACATCCATCTGGTGAATGCTCCATCCATATTGAGATGACAAAGAAATGATCAATCATATGGTTTCTAAACGAGCAACCGGTGCAAAAACATCCCTATAATCAATTTCGAACCTTTGTCTATACCCTTTTTCAACCATCCTTGCTTTGTGCTTATCTACTCCTCCTTTTTCATTCATCTTGGTTTTATAAACCCATTTAACTCCAATTGATATGTGATTATCTAGAAGATCAACTAGGATCCAAGTGTTGTTTTTTGTAATAGATTTGATCTCCTTATCCGCCAATCTCCATTTTTCATGTTTGAGAGCTTCATCAAAAGTAACAGTATCTGCATCTTCAAAACAGTGCAAAGTCAATATATTCATCGAAATCTAACCCTTAAGTGGCATCATATAGGTCCCTCATGCTCCTTGTTTTTCTTGGAGGTGAATCAGAAGAAGGTGGCGATGTAGAAGCTGAGGTTTCACCATTTGATGATGTGTGTTGATGATTGTCTTGTGGTGGTGGTGAATCATAGTTTATGTTATCATTTTCCTGTGTTGTAGTTTCTTCCTCGTTTATTATTTGAATGAGAAATTAAATTGCCTCCTACCATTTACTCCTACAATTATTCCTACCCACTAAAATTATGACAAATCACCATTCAATTTAATTGTATTTGATATATTCCTAATATAGTCTTAATGATTTAGTTTAAAAAATATGGAAAGATGATACTTGTCATAATTTTATTGGGTAGACATATTTGTAGGCATAAAAAGTAGGAATCAATTTAATTTCTCTATTTGAATATAATCTTCAGTTATTTCTCCCAAGGTTTCTTTCCATTCCTTTCTCTGGTCAAAAATAACATCCCTACTAACAACTACCTTCTTTGTGACCGGATTATATAGCTTGTAGGCCTTTGAACTCTCACTGTAGCCAACAAAGATCACTTTTTCAAATTTTTTGTCTAGTTTTCCTCTCTTCTGATCAGGAACATGAGAATAGGCTACACATCCAAATATTTTTAAGTGAGATATTCCTTGTTTGAATCCAGACCAAGCTTCTTGAGGAGTTTTACTGATGAGACTGCTGGTATAGCCACAATTTAGTAGGTATACTGCACATGCTACAGCCTCAACCCAAAAGAAATCAGCCAAATTTTTACTTTATAGCATGCTTCGAGCCATATCCATAATGGTTCTATTTTTTCTTTCAGCCACCCTATTTTGGTGGCGGGAGGGGGGGGCTATAAAGAGTGGTGTGTTGATGAATCCCATTGTCTTTCAGAAATTCTTGGAAAAAGTGAGAGGTATATTCTCCTCCACAGTCAGACCTCAAAGCTTTGATTGTAAAACCACTTTGCTTTTCCACAAAAGTCTTAAACGTTTTAAATGATGTAAAGACTTCTGATTTGTACTTAAGGAAATAAACCCATGTTTTTATGCTGAAGTCATCTTTGCATGTAAGCATGTATATACTTCCCCCAATGGAGGGTGTTTTCGTAGGGCCACAAACATCATAATGTATAAGTTCTAGAGGTGTTGCTGCCCTCCAAACCATTTCTTGCGAACAGGCTTCCCTTGAGTGTTTACACATTATGCAACCTTCACAAATCTTATCACTTTTTTCTATATTGGGTAACCCACGAACAAGATCATATTTTTGCATGTAAATGAGTGAACCATAGTTGATGTGTCCAAAGCGTTGATGCCAAAGAAGAGAGGTTTCATCATTTGTGACTTTAAAGGAGAAAAGATTATCATCTGAGAATCGTAGAGAAAACATTTTGTTTGCGGTCATGAGTACCTTTTCCAACAGTTTATTGTTTCCATCTCTGATTTCACATGAATTCTCTTTAAAGTGTACGTCGTCTCCTTTGAGAATTAGTTGGCCAACACTTAGCAAATTATATTTAATCCCAGGGACAAAGTAAACACCTGATATCCTTTTATTACCCATCCTTGTATTTACCAGTATGTCTACACATCCTTGAACGTTTAAAAAAATTTCATCACCGGTATGTACTTTTTTTTTTTCAGAATCCTTTAGAGTAGTAAACGGATCTCTAGTTCCGGTCATGTGGTTACTGCAACCGCTATCAAGGAACCATGTATCTTCTTGTGTGTTGTTTTGTGCAGTAAAAAACATGAACGTACTTTCTTCCTGATTGTCCTCTTCTTGAAGCATAAGGCTTGAGTTTCTATTTTCATCTACAATTCTTTTTCTACATACTTTGAATTTATGTCCAAATTTCTGGTAGTAATTGCATTGAATTTGTGAGAAAGATTTAACACATCCTTTCCCTTTAGAAGAAGTCTCACTTTGTTCTTCCTTTTGACTAGGATATTTTTTTTGTATTTGGATTACATTTAGTCGTTGAATGTATTTTGAAGGCATTTTCAGAGTGAGAAAAGTCAAACTGTCTCATCCTTAATTCATGGGATTGTAACGTCCCAAGGAGATTTTCTAGAGAAAATGTCGATAAGTCTTTTGATTCTTCAATCGCAACAACTACATATTCAAATTTTCTGGTTAGGCTTCTTAATATTTTTTCAACAACTCTTCTATCGTCAATGGTTTCCCTGTTTAGTCTCAACTGGTTTAAGAGTAAGATTACTCGATTATAGAACTCCTCAATTGTCTCCGAGTCCTTCATGTGAAGATTATCGAATTCACATCTTAAGGTTTGCAGTCATACAACTTTAACCTTTTCTTCTCCCCTGTATGTTATATGAAAAAAATCCCATGCTTCTTTTGAAGATGAAGATGTCGAGATTCTCTCAAAAATTACTTCATCTACTGCTTGGTAAATGAAGAATAATGCCTTCTTGTCTTTCTTCCTTGATTCATTTAAATCAATTGTTTATTATGCTATTAAGGCGGTAGGAATTGCAGGTTCAATCATTCCATTCTCCACGATAATCCAAAGATCATGGGACTCGTACAAAACCTTCATCTGAATACTCCAGTGGTAATAGTTTTTTCCGTTTAACTTGGGTAATTGGGGTTGCAATATGTTTCTGTTTGTAGCCATGATTGCTAGCTCTGATACCAATATGTTGAGTAAATGAAGAGCACATAAATTCACACTAACATGTACTTATTATATTTAGAAGCATCGAATCATCCATAGATGTCATTGCATACGTATTTATACTAGACTTCAAAACTATCAATAACTACTAACGTAACTATCATTTGACAGTTACCAAATAAAATACCGTTTGGAGACACCCCTTAGATAAAGGCATCACTTTGTACATAAAAACAACGAGTTTACTTATATGTCTTTAACATCTCCTTCGATAACATAATACCATAAGAATTAGAACAGACAACATGACCAATCCTCCGCCAACATTTCCAAGTATCACGTCATATGGAGCTTTCTTCTTCTTCTCTTTTATAGGATATGTAAGCCTTGATGGTGGGGTGGTACAGCTACCTTTTGGATTGGGGCTAGAAAGATTACCAGTCATGTTCAACTTGAAGACTTCCAAACCATTTAAATAACCATCAAGATATTATCCATAGAAAGGATCCAATACGAGCCACAAATCTT